TAACTCCACTGACAATAGTAGAGACATTCCAAATTTCACTGGTGTAACAGAGAACTGAATGTTTCTGAACGGCAGAATAACCCACATACTCTACCTCCACGTATAGTTGTTCAACAATCACATTGCTTCCAAGTGTGGATTTCAGCTGAGTGACCAGTCTCTGCATTTCATTGATTTCCAGTTTCAGTAACTGAAAGTCCAACTCAGTGTAAGAAACACTGGTTGACTCCATATGTTCCACCTTGATGGTTAGGTTTCGGATTTTCTGTTCATATATTTCAATTGCTTTGGTATATTGGCTAACCTAAAAAAAAAAACAAGCACATTTTCAAGTTCAGCTGAACAAATATAACAGGCATGTTTGACATCTTTATTACATGCATTTATATATAAATTTGTCAAATTCTGCCTTCATTTACCCCTGTGCATTACTGAGGGCAGAATTTCATTCATAATCTTCACTTTTTTATTCCTCACTGTAACAAGAGCAACCACACTGTGAGCAAGCCCCTATGGCCAGAGGTCACCCTGCAGCACCTGCGTGTTTCCCCCTCAAGGGCCCCTTATGAAGACTCCACACTCCTTTTCTGGTGTCAAAATACCCCTCATTGGGACCTAGGTTTATTCACAAAACAAACTCAAAATAAAACTCAGAGTCCCAAATTAAAGTCCAACAAGCAAACGTTTCTCTTCCTGCTCCCAAGCCTCCCTGCTTGGAGAACTTTGGCTGTCTTTCCCCTGCTCTCTCAGGGTCTTCCCTGCCTTAGCAGGCTATTGCCAGCACTTCCTAGCTGAAATCTTAGGCTACATCTGTACTGACCTGTGGTTCGGACTGCAGGGAGCACCAAAGAACTACTCTGTAACTCCCCTGTGTGGATGCCAGGGGTGTGAACTAAAAGGTTCCTTCTTCCCATTAATGTAGTCCTGTTTGAAGAGGATGACATGAAGGCAAACTAGGAACCTTATGGGTTGCACCTGCAGCATCTACACGAGTGAGTTACAGTTCAGCATCCTGGTGCGCATTGCTATTCACATCCCGTGGTCCAGACTCGGCCAATTCATTAGCCTTTTGTCATCACGTTTACATCATTTTAGTTTACACAAGTGTGTAAACAGACAATACTGTACATAGAAACAACCTATCTAAATACATACAACACAAGCTAAACTTCAAATATAAATCAATACATGTAACTTTAAATCTTATTAAAATATGTAGAATCTGTTTGGCCCACATAAGGTTTATGTGGCACTCCTGTGTAATAAGGTTGGGCACCACTGGTATAGATAAACCAGAGTCACAAATCCCAGGACTCTGCTGGAGCCTCCTCACTCCCGGCAGTCTTTGCTCTCCCTGAGTTTTCCCCTCACTTCAGCTTCCAGCTACTTTTTATAGGGGAATCACCTGATGCCGGGCCGGAGCCGCTGGGGCCGGGGCCGGAGCCACCGGGGCTGGGGGTGCTCAGCCGGCGCTGCTCGGCCAGGGCCGGGGCTGCTCGGCCAGGGCCGGGGCTCCGGGGCCCAAGCCAAGCCGAGCCAGGCCGGAGCCGCTGGGGCCGGAGCCGGCGCGCTCGGCCAGAAACGGGGCCAGTGGGGATAGTGGAGCATGGCGTGGGGAAGTTGGTCCCCAGAGCGAGGGGCTGGCTAGGGGCAATGGGGCATGGCATGATGGGGGTGTCCCCACTCCGCCCTGCCCAGTGCAAGGGCACTGTTTACAAACCGGCAGTTGCCAGATACACCATGGCCCACCCAGCCCTGTGCTGCCAGCATGCCTCTTCCCCTCAGGGGCGGGCCTGGGCCGTGCCCCACGGTTCCCTGCCCAAGCACCCCTCTGCTCCCAATGCCCAGCATCCCCTGGACCTGCTATGCCCATTTGTGGTGCCCCTCCACATATCCCCCACCACAAACGCACAGTGACCTGCACACAACCACCCACAGCCCCACCTAGGGTTACCAGATAGCAACTGTGAAAAAACACGACAGGGGGTGGGGGATAATAGGCGCCTATATAAGAAAAAGTCCCAAAACACGTGACTGTCCCTTTAAAAACGGGACATCTGGTCACCCTAGCCCCACCACAATATGTTTGGCACCAAGCCCACACAAGGTTAATCCGGCCCTGTGCCCCAGGCCCTCCAGCCTGCACAGGGCAAGCCACCCGCTTACACGCACTAATGTTCCCTCTTGGAGTTAACTTTATCCAGGATTATATAGAATTTCAGGGGCCAGATTCTACCAGGGAATCTGCAGTGATTATTTCAGATAAGTGATGTACATGAAGAATTTTGGGGTATGTCTACGCAGCCCCCGTCTGCGAGTCTCTGAGCCCGTCGACAAACGCGGGCTCTCACTATCGTGCTAAAAATAGCAGTGCTAAAAATAACCCCCTCCCTAGACCTCAGAGCCTACACTCCAGCCTGAGCTGCAACACCTACACAGCTATTTTTAGCACAGCGTGCAAGCCCAAGCCTGTTGACCTGGACTCAGAGATTCACTGCTGCGGCCTGCCACTTGCTGTATAGATGTACTCTCTGGGGCTGAAAAAGATAACGAAAGATCCACCAATTTCTCCAAGATGACTTTCTGTTGACTTCCGTGGGCACTGGTCAGGCCACCACTCCGCAACTAGCAAAAACAAGTCCTGTGGTACCTTATAGACTAACAGATGTATTGAAGCATAAGCTTTTGTGGGTGAATGCCCACTGCATCAGAAGCATGACTCTTTGTTGCTTTTTACAGATCCAGACTAACGCAGCTACCCCCTGATACTCTGCAAACAGTATCTAATCTTTTCTGCATTAAAACTAATTGAGTCCCCTGAAGAAGGGGATATTTTAGCACCGTGCACTATTACAAATCCGATCCATCCATCCTGAAACTGATTTAAATGAAGGCCAGTTGAGGTGAAATAGTTATTTGAGCCTTTAGGTAGAATAACTGTTGCGCAGCAGCCTCTTCAGATGTGGAACCACTAAACAGATGGCTGGATAAATATACTTTTGCACATGTATCTACTAATGTAAAGGTCATGGTGCAAACACTGTGAAGAAGAATGTCAAGAACATTATGTGGATTTGGAGCATTCTCTGAAAAATTTGAGTTCCATACAAATGGAACATCTTGGGAAAGATATAATCTTCCTCCCACATGACTTAAAACTGTACCCATTTTTCCTTAATGGCATTCCAAAAGGTAAGAAGTATCTCTCAGCAGGAATAAATAGAATTATATTATTGTGTCAAATTAGCAACTCTGAAGTTATGGACTAGAAGGCATTTCCATTATAAGCCCCAATTTTCAGGTGCTTATCACTTCCCTAAATATTACCTTCTGGACTGAAATTGCTCATGCATAGTCTCAGACTTAAAATGAATTTGTTGGATTAAAAATCAATTTGGCAACTTTTGCATTATCTTACCATGAATTAAGAGCAACAAAGAGTCCTGTGGCACCTTTAAGACTAACAGAAGTATTGGAGCATAAGCTTTTGTGGGTGAATACCCACTTCGTCTGGGTATTCACCCACAAAAGCTTATGCTCCAATACTTCTGTTAGTCTTAAAGGTGCCACAGGACTCTCTGTTGCTTTTTACAGATCCAGACTAATACGGCTACTCCTCTGATGAATTAAGAGTGTTTTGCACCAATCGCAATTTTTTTCAGCTCTATTTTAATCAAGAGGACAGCCCCGAAATGGACTTTTAAAAATTTGACATGGGTACAGTTTTTCATTAAGACTAGAGCTTTGCTGTTCTACTGTCCTGGTGATATTGCCTACAGATTTCTGACCAGGGCTTTGTAACAACCAGAGAAGAGACTTCCCCCTAATAATTCTTTCCAAGATATACACTGAACCTCAGTACATGCTGGGGCAGGTCTTTGGGAGTTTAGTCAATGGTACATCAATACTTGTGCAGGGCAAATACGATCGATTAAACAAATAATAATGTATCTGACTACTGAATCTCAGTGATTTAGCTTAAGGAGGCAAACCAAAGATAAGAGGACCCTCTTTTCAGAGTTACAATTTTTTATGCAACTGTGACTGAACTACTTTTTGAGTCTGAGGGAAGCCATTTAGCATAAACCCATAGAAATGTAGGATTGGAAGGGACCTAGATAGGTCATCAGTCCAGAACCCTGCACTGAGGCAGGACTAAGTATTATCTAGACCAGGGGTCGGCAACGTTTGGCACGCAACTCGCCAGGGTAAGCACCCTGGCGGGCCGGGCCAGTTTATTTACCTGCTGACGTGGCAGGTTCGGCCGATCGCGGCCCACACTGGCCGTGGTTCGCCATCCCGGGCCAATGGGGGCGGCAGGAAGTGGCGCGGGCGAGGGATGTGCTGGCCATGGCTTCCTGCCGCCCCCATTGGCCCAGGACGTCAAACTGCGGCCAGTGGGGGCCGCGATCGGCCAAACCTGCTGCGTCAGCAGGTAAATAAACTGGTCCAGCCCGCCAGGGTGCTTACCCTGGCGAGCCGCATGCCAAACATTGCTGACCCCTGATCCAGACCATCCCTGGAAGGTGTTTGTCTAATCTGTTCTTAAAAACCTCCAGTGATGGAGATTCCACAACCTCCCTAGGCAATTTATTCCAGTGCTTTATAGTTAGGAAGTTTTTCCTAAAGTCTAACCTAAATCTCCCTTTCTGCGATTTAAGCCCATTACTTCTTGCACTGTCCTCAGTGGTTAAGGAGAACAATTTTTCATTCTCTTCTTTATAACAACCTTTTAGGTACCTGAAAACTGTTTTCACCTCCCCCCTCAGACTACTCCTCTCCTGATTAAACAAACCCAATCTTTTCAATCTTTCCTTGTAGGTCATGTTTTCTAGACCTTTAATCATTTTTGTTACTCTCCTCTGGACTTCCTCCAATTTGTCCACATCTTTTCAGAGTGTGGTGCCCAGAACTGGACACCATACTCCGGCTGAGGCTTTATCAGTGCTGAGTAGAATGGAAGAATTACTTCTCGTGTCTTTCTTACAACACTCCTGCTAATACCTCCCAGCATGATGTTCAGGTTTTTTGCAACAATATTACATGGTTCACTCATGTTTCATTTGTGATGCCACATAACCCCTAGATCCTTTTCTGCAGTATGTGTTCCTACACAGTCAAATCCATTTTGTATTTGTGCAATTGATTATTCCTTCCTAAAGGTAGTACTTTGCATATGTCTTTATTGAATTTCATCCTGTTTATTTCAGACCATTTCTCCAGTTTGTCAAGATCATTTTGAATTCTAATCCTGTCCTCCAAAGCACTTGCAATCCCTTCCAGCTTGGTATGGTCAACATATTT